CAGGAAATAACGCTGGCACAGGGTTCATTATTCTTGTTCGAAAGCTTATTTGCGAGGGTTCTTAAAAAGTTCTGAAAGTCAAGTCCCATGCCTCCGTTTGTACCAAACACCAACGGTGTAAAAGTTCCCATTTCCACATCCATCACTCTCTGGTTGTAGTATTTCCTCTTCTTCCCGTTTTCTTGCTCTTTGAAGATCGTAGCTGTGGACTTGCCCTGGTTGGACCTGGAGTTAACATGCGTTACACGTACGTCGAAAAATGCTGTTACTCCAGGTGTCCAAAAGCTTCCTGCCTTCATGTCCAGCCTCGCTTCTCGACTTGTGACAGTTGACTGCAGGTTAAATACTTTATTGCCGAGTGGTTGCAGGAGTGGCTCTATCTCCACATTTCTGCACACTTTACTGATGTGTAATGTCAGTAGATCTCGGATCGTGTCTCTGGGCAAGAAAACCTCCCTTCTTGCAAAACAAGATTAACAATATAAACCTAGTAAAATAAAAAAAACTGTCATTGTTTGCATATCCATTTTAACAAAAATAAGCCGCTTTTTCATTGTTTTGAATCTGAATGAGAGCTTTGTCTCTCTCGTCATAAGTTTAGTTCACCATGATTTTCATTCACGTAGGGCACAATTACAGGGCTCGTGCGCGGCTTCCGACTGGTAATTGGCAATTACAGCTACAAATAAAATTAACTATTTTAGAAAAAAAATCATGAAAACTCATCGATCGACAACACACCTGTGGGAAGTTTTTGTGGAACTTAAGCAGTGCGGTGACTTCCTACCGATCGTAAATTCCAACCTCTAATAACGCAATCTTCGTACATAATAGGTGGTTTGCACGTTACGTCATCGCCGCCATGTTGGTGGACTTTAACAGATATCTCATTAGCTTCTTTTGTTCGTCTTCCAATATTTGTTCCTTTCACCTTTGTTAATTGTGTCTCTAGAGATTGGTTGCAAACCACCTATAAGCATGCTTTAATGTATTCACTGAGGTGACAAACCATAGAAACACTGACAAAATATTTCGTATACTTTTCTCAAACTACGCATGTTAAAACATATTCTTGAAATGCCAAGTTTGAAAGTGTTTCAAGGAGGTAGCTGACCAAAACGCGTTATCAACGACATTCGAGTCAAGCTTGGCCGTCTCCGAAATGAAAGGTGGCGGGTAGTATCTGAAGACCCAAATCAAATGGATCGTAAAATTAAAGTACGTAAACAAAAGATAACTGTCTAACGGGCTGCAGTGAAGAAAACGATAGTGATGAAAGTGCAAACCATCAACATGAAGCAGAAAAATAAATTTCGTTTCCACAGTTTCATGAGACATCGAGTTACAAAGTATTGCAAGTCCGGCTAAAAGAACCTTCCAAAGGGGAACCTTTCGTTATTAAATTGGAAATGGTTAAAACGATTTGTGAAAAGCTTTACCGTTTAGAATCTTAATAATTCATGTCTCTCAGCTTTAGGATTGGGCGGAGGGTAAAAGTCAAAATTATTTCCAGTTCAATATTCGCAGATTAACAGACAAGTCACAAAATATTGAACTTTGTAGCATTTGTCAAAAACAATCGTTTGTGATCAATTTCGTTGATGCCAGTTGGCTTATGGTTTACGAGCCGAGCAGAGTAAAAATTTCGTTAGCTGGTAATCTGAGGAAGTAGTCAAAACAAAGCATTTTTAAAAATATGACTCAAGATTTTGAACAGATCGGCGATCAAAGAAAATTGGTGGAAATTCATGGATTGTTTTCAATTCTTAAACTTTAATGTTCCTTTCAAAGTTGCATTTTAACATTTTAAATTCAGATACTCTCTCGGTGAAAAAAGCCTTTTCATTCTCATTGAATTATTTTTTTTGTTAATTTTATTCAAATAAGTCTAAAAAGTGTAAAGAGAGAATCAAATGAAAAAACCATAATACTTGCAGACTATGGGTCTCGCATACCTGTATTCATATGAGATCTACACCACGTTTAGTCACATGGTTCGTGACCGTTTCAGTGTAGGATTTTGAAGCTTTTAACCCTATATTTTCAGTTTGGCAGCTGGTAAATTAGTGCAAGTCGCGTGGTTTTGAATTCAGTTGTCACTGATAGAAAGGTCTTTGGAAAAAAGAAGACATTGATTAATTTCATTACATAGTTTTAGCTGTATTATCATTGGAGGCGATTATAGGTTCCCAATCACCTTAATGTTTTAATTTTTAAGGTGGCTCTGATCCACATAAATCCTACTAATTATGATGATGGCATTTGGAAGGGGGGGAGTGGAACGTTTGTATTTGATTCCATAATAGGGTCAACAGAAAAAATGGGGTTGTGTTAATCCATCAAATAAGAGGTTGGAGAGAACACAAAACCAACTATGTGCTTCTTTTACCAAGCGATCAGTTTGGCTGCAGTCAACCAATTTAGGTTCATTATGTAGTGAGATTCATTCATAATACTTCTCCTGGTGACTATCGTTCCATGGATGAGTTCTTACTCAGTCTCTCTCCGTCCCTTCCATTCTTTGAACCACAGGGCTCAGCAGCCTTTGCTCCAGTAGCAAATAGCCGATAGTGATGGTCGCTTCTATCTTGGATCTATTTCATTGAGGAGGAAAACTGCGATTCAATGTTTTCATACAGAAACGTCATTAGTGATAAAGCAGATCTCGCAGTCAAGACGGTTAATTTCACAAATGTAGAATATACGTGAAGAAAAAATGGCCTCATACTGTTTACCCTTTGAGGAGCTAGAGTGGAAACATTTTTCCATCTCCATTCATTGAATCTTCAATGGATGCTACTCCTTTATCCGTCCTTGCCTTGGACAATGAAAAATAAATGATTTTTCTCATGTTGAAATTCCGTGAGTAAAAATTACGTGTTTACTCACAGATCTGTAAAGGGTGCTTGGCTCAAGAAAATGCGAGGAGAAATTTTATGAAAGGGTCAAATTGAAGGACGCCTAAGATCGAAAGACTTTGTATCAAAGCTGTGGCAAGGCAGAATATTAGATTCAACATTTTTTGAAAAAAAAGTTCGCCTTCACCGAGTTCATTATTAGAACCCGATTTCATGTTAATCGTAGCTTATCCATGTGAAGACAAGAAAATATTCCCTGTACATGGTCTGGAAACATCGCATAAGGGTTTCACAAGGATAACCCTTAATGGTCTGGGTCATATTTCCTTAATTTCGTGATAATTACCTAGTCACTCGATGGATCGAGGTATTTGTAATGGAAAACATGTGAATTACGTAAATTATGGGCGTGGGTAATGTTTGAACGTCTTTGTAACTGTACGAGCTGTAGGACTGAGAGAGCAATTTAAAAACCTTTTGAAACATCACGCAGGAGCGTAGCTAGAATTTTTCAAGGGGGGGGGGTCACAGAGGCTACTCACCATTTACACCGCTGCTCTCCCGCGTGTATCAGCGGGCTCAGTCGTATCATCGTGGCATGAAGGCCCATATTAACTAAATAAAAGAGCTGTTGACGAAAATACTTTCCAAAAAAAAAAACAAATTTTAAAAGTGGGCTTTTCAACAATGGCTTTTACGGCCAAGATATTGTCATTGCGTTTTCGCTACCTGAATATTGTAGGTTGTTTGTTCTAAAAAAGGCCTACCAAGGGGGGTCAGGGGCACCCTAGGAACCCCCCTGGCCACGCCCTTGTCACGAATGACCAAAACCTACGGAATGCACGAGAAGTTCATGCAAAGTTTTGCTCATTGCAAAATCACCAAGCTTACCGACTATGTGCGTCCTTGGCGCAGGTTACTTGGTTCTTCAAGAATTTGATAGATATTCGTGTTTTTTTTTCTTTACCAGAGCAATAAATACAATTTTTATAACAGACCAAAAAAGCTTGAAGTTATACGCAAGTAAAATAAGTTGGAAATTTTTTTTTTCTATCCTTTGCGAAAATACTGCATCTTTAACTCCATCTCTTATCTATATATTGACCAATTAGGAACGAAGCATTTTGCCGAGTACAAATTAAGGGACTTAATTGCGATGGGTGATTCTTAAAATGGCGAAACAGTGCCGGGTTGTCTGCAAGTTGACCAGGTGTTAGATTCTCCTTGGTGTTTATAATCACATATAAAACGAGTCACTAAGACCTTGACCACTAAAACAGCGGAAACTGAAAGAGGGCAACTCTGACATACTTATGGACTATTAAACAACAACAAACATATGAAACATATGTGTGAACTGCGGTTATGAGACGTATATGAGCACGATCCTTCGCAGTAAAGCACTATTTGAGCAATAGTGAAAATCAGACCTGAAAAAAATTTCAGGCCTGTACGGGATTCGAACCACTGACCTCTGCGATACTAGTGCAGCGCTCTTACCAATTGAGCTAACAAGCCAACTGAGAGCAGGCCATCAAATTAATTCGACATAAACCCGTAGATGATAAATCAAACAACAACAAACATATGAAACATATGTGTGAACTGCGGTTATGAGACGTATATGAGCACGATCCTTCGCAGTAAAGCACTATTTGAGCAATAGTGAAAATCAGACCTGAAAAAAATTTCAGGCCTGTACGGGATTCGAACCACTGACCTCTGCGATACTAGTGCAGCGCTCT